CCCTACTGTACGGTTGGGAAACTTGGCCCATTAGATAGGCAGACGTAAAGAGGCTAGTTACGTTCGACCACCGGTGCCTTCGCAGTTTGGCTCACATCTGGTGGGAACACCTTGTGAGCAACGAGCGTGTTCGACGCCTTGTTTATGGCACAGGAAGAGGAAGCGAACCGCTCAGGTGCGTTATTTTACGCACCAAGCTCCTTTGGCTGGGTCGCGTGTTGTGCATGCCAGTCCAGCGGCTTCCGCGACGTGCGTTGTTTGCGCGCCGGGTGTGTAGTTGGAAGAAGAGGGGGGGTGGCCAAGGGATGACTTGGTCGAGAGGAATGAAGGCACTTACTTCGAAGTTCTTCTCGGTTGGAGCCTCTTGGCTCCCTGGTTGGGGTCCGGTATTCGGATAAATACTTTGTCTGGATGCGCTTGTTGACATGGCTTGGAACCGACCTTAATGGCCTTTGTGTTGTGAGTTTCTTTGTTCCTCCCCTTCCGCTTATCTTCCTCCTCCAACCCCATTCTCATTTCGTAGGTATAATATAACCCTTTGCAGTACAATAGCCGGTTAGTGGCTCTCCGGAACGATGTTCATCCGATACGGTGCCTTCCATCGTCTCCGCTTATGCTCCTACTGACTGCAGTTTGGAGGGTATCAAAGATGTTTCTATCGTAATCTTTCTTTTAGCGAAAATACTGACATGGTGATTGTTGCTATTGACTTGAATGCCCAAGTTTGTCGTATTTTAAACCCGGAACGACACCTAGGAGGGCGTTCCGGACAGCGGCGATTAATTCCTGCAACCGGTTGCCGACGCCATCTTTATATTAGCAACACTGCTTTCAACTTAGATTTGCCAGCACAACCTGTTATTTCATATTTGAATCAATTTTATCACAGCTTCCTGAGCAAGATGGATACTGAACTGCACAATTCAGGAGCTATTTGTCTTCATCGTCTAAAGCCGTTGTTTTAGGCATAGATTCATATTCATTGATGGCGCATCTGTTTAAAAACTAGTTAGCTCGGCTTCTCAGACCTCCTTTTCTTCTACTCTGGCGGTACATACTTAATCATTTACTGCTTAATTTTTCTATTTGAATGGACTCTAGTGGAATTCAGGCCATTTGTTTTGTATCCGCAATCTTAAGGGCGTAACGCAACGGTTTTAGCTTTAGATTGGCATCAGTCCATGTCTCCCTTACGATCGCGTTGCACGATAGGATTCTTCAAACTAGCAGACTGTACTGCACACATGTGACTATTCAAAACGAACCACATTGGAAGATCATGTTGATTCCTTTAGCAACACAGGCCCATCAGTGGGGCGCTGATAAATGGAATCACTGTAGATAGCAGTATATTGCGGTCGCTGGGAATGGATTTTGAAAATCGACTTCTTTCAGGTTCAGCTGTTTTCCAGCTTCATCGGTAATTCAGGAGCCCAACTATTTCTCTTTCTAGCGATAAAGCTATAAGGTCTAGAACTTCAGAGCTCCGGTGTATGCTTATTGTGGTGCCTATTGAACTTCTTGCAAACCAAATTATGGTTATTTCACTCCTCTTAAAATTGGGTTGTATCATGTAATCGAATCAAGCAGCCACAGCACCGTAGATTCGCATGAACTTTTTCGCACCTTCCTAACAACCTTACCATAAAAAGAAACCTCAACAAAAGTTTATGTGATACCGAGGTGGACGCATTTCGAAGTAGATAACATCGGTTCAGTCACTGGAATGGATGTTTTGAGCAGCAGTGCAACTGGATTTTCACAAAGCTTACTAAACCGCCACTGTTTTAGTGTATCTAGTTTTTCAAACGCCTAGCTCGCCATGCTTAGATGGGTCCCCATAAGTTTTATTTCACAAAGTGGTTTACAACTACCTAATTTTCACTTTGCTATGCCTTTTAAACACTTGTAGTTATCCTTTCTCAATTGGGCTTCTCTGCTACTGAGTTCGCTGGCCACTGGCTTCTGCTAAATACATGAGTGTATAACGGAGGGTGAATGTACAAATTTCTACGATTACTGGCGTCTCTATGCACTATCATCCGAACATTCGAGGGCGCATGAGCCACATGACTGTCTTCGGGTCCGGCAGTGAGTTCATTGTTCCGAGAAACATTTCTTCGCCTCCCTGCTGCTATACTCGGGCGCTTTGGGTAATCCAAAAAGTTTGTTACTAACCGGAACCGTATTATTCGCGCTTTCGTGGCCGGTACCAAACTGCACGCAACTTGCGTTGTTTAATTCACTCCCGCGAGTCGGGCGTTTTCTTGTAGAAAATAACGGCCCCTAGCCTTAAAGATCACAAGCCTGCTTTTCAATTTCATTGCGCGGGTTCAAACCTGCGTAGGGTCCAGGCGACCCTCGCACTATCCTTAGCCCACGTGCGGCTGGTGATGGCTGCGCGGCAGCGAAGCGTCGGTACGGCGTACTGCTGATGTCTTCGTTTACATCCAAAAGCCCATGATGTGGACCCCCAAACCCAACCTTCTTCCTCCATCTGGACAACCGTAAGGTTGCATGCCCATGTATACTGCGGATCAGCTCTCTCTTGAAAGTTTATCTGCAGATAAGTCTGCTAAACCGCGCTCTATCGCACTACCAACCAACTGCTTTACTCCACGTCTGCCCAACGTATGCTTGGTAAACTTCCCCCTGCTTCAGATTCTACAACACCGTTCTGATTAAGGCGAGAGTCCGTCACATGGTTCAGAAGTTTGTGTCTGATAGTGCGTCACCCAAAGGTATTTACAAGTTTTTCTCTTTCGACCGGTTCCCAATTTAAGGCAGCTACCCACAATGTTCGGAAGCTGAGGCATATTGGATCACAGCAAGCCCTTACTCGCACTGTATAGATCACTGCCATCGATATTCAATGCATTCGTTTGCAGTACGCCAACAGTGCGCCACGGCTAGTTTCATCGGCATTGTTCTGTTGGCATTTTCACGTTGCGCTTATCCGCAAGTGCGCTCACCAAAGACGCAGGCCATGCAACGTAGGAGTTGCGTTCAGGGTACGCACGGAGGTAGCGCTAATCGGCCAACTCCCTCTTGTCAGCCGAGTCCACGTGACTCGACCTGAATGCTCCCTACGGTCGTCCAACTGAGGAGCAAGGAGATGCGGTTCGTTGGTCGTTGCAGCGTGCGATCCCAGATATTCCAACATACGCTCAGCTAAAGATGACTTCCGCCTTCACCGCACCGATGTTCCTCATAAAAAGCGCAGAGATCGTGATGCTCCTTGGAGGCCTAAGGGCGCGGAGCGGTACTCGCAGGACAGACAACCGCGATACCCTACATCGGCTTTATACCTATTTTCTCGCGCATTAGCCTGCGGCACCAACACACTACTTGGAGTGCCTTCGTCAACTGACCTGCCACGGATGTAGATTGACCACTTCCTCATAACTTACCGTTGATGAGGCTGCATAAGGGCCCCGGAAACGGCTTGACATTTCTGCCCACACCTTTAAAACTATTTCAGCCTCCAGTGCATACTATTCAAATCTTGCAACTCTGCAACCTTGGTTTGCGGTTTCATTTATAGTGTTCTTAACAACTAGACGACCTCTCTGGCTTACTGAAGCCCATCGAGTGATTCCAGCAAACATTAGGTACTGTGCGGGTGCACCAACGCTGAACTCAGACGGCACCACCGGGAGTATGGCGAGGACTAGTAGCTGAAGCGTGTCATCGAGATGGGACAAGTGGCCTGCTCGGTGACGTAAGTCAAGGTAGCTTGATCTACCGCGTCTGGGTGAACGAGTGTTGGTTGACAAACAGAACTGAGCTGTATCGAAGCGGCTCCTTCTTCATGTGTAGCAGTACTTCTGGCCTTCGATGTTTTTAACTGTTAGAATCGATACCTGAAAGTCCCTGATGTCCGGTGACGATTGGCCCTTCGTACCGCGGGTCACTCGCTTCTGCTTGCTGTCCGCAATTGAATGCACCTAACTTGTAGTTACTCCTCGGGACACCACGTGACGCACATTCGATCCGCATATGGATGATATAACTGATATCAAGAGAATCTGCGATGTGAGAACTCGTCAGTGGCCGGAGTTGTTTATGGATTGGCTTTCCACCTCCATCTAACAGTGTGCTATTCCCAATTGCAGTCAACACTATCCGGTCTGAATATCACTCGTTCTAGCGACCCAGTGTTGTCAACCTTATAACGCAACAACCCGATTCCCAGTGTTTTAGACTCGACATTTGTTGGGTGAGACACTGCTGCCGATTCCACATCTCCTTTCGAGCAGCTCATCTGACTACCACTTCAAGTACTATGGCTTCAGCTTCCCTGTTATTTATCTCTGATGTGTAGTAACAATCACCTACCAACAAATGTGCTGTATTTTTGCACCTACCATTCGAATAGGTATATCTGGCTACACACCTAGCTACTTTCCTGAATTGTTTGTAGCCTCTGGAATGCATCGTCTGCGTGGCATAACGCATCCGTTTAGTGGCCAAATGAATGTTAATGGCATTGTAAATGGCTCCGCCCTTGTTTCATTTCCATGAATCTTCGCCATTGGTACAGAATGGAATGTTGCCCGATTGCATTTGCTGTTCAGCAAGTGCTGTCTGCCGAATAATTAAGATATTGAAAATTCGAAACGTTCATTTATCGACAGGTGTCCCGTCATCGAATCGCGCGGCAATTTGACCCTTGCCTCCGTAGTTGTTTTGCGTTCGTCACGATGGCAGTACCAATCTAGCGCCAGTCGTTACCACCGAATTCGATCCAGATGTTTCCCTATAAAGCGAGGCGCCGTGCTTCGTTGTTCCCCTTTTTGTGACTTCGTTCATCTGAAATTCAAAACGATGTTCTTTACTAATACAATAATGGTAGGTCAATTTATAGATTGCGGTTGTATCTCATTCACCGGCACTGTTATTGAAATGGATTTTATCCATGTTTTGGCAGTTTCATTGTTGGCTGTTACATGCAACTTAAAATCGTTTCACTCAATGTTTCTTGACATTTTTGACTTTAGCTCACCACATCCTCTGTGGAGTCAGTTTCAGGACCATCGGAACCTTCACGTGCGCAAGCTACTGAGCGTTTGTCAAAAAACTACACTTCCAACTCAGTTTGCCATCTGAAGAATCCGCACTCCCGACCAGAGCGCCGCAAACGGACGCACTTCTCTGATTCTGTGTTGATCACATTGATGCAAGCTTACGAAAAGAATCCTCGTCCCAAAGGTAATTGCCTTTATTGTTGTTGATATTGCTCTGATCCATCAGAGTAGTGCACTTGATCTGCTCAGGAAGGGTGATGCAACTCGGTTTACAGGTTTCTCGCGTTTCTGGATACGTTGTGTTATGCTATTTTAGACACATATAATTCATCACGGTCTTAGCCTTGGGACCGAGCTAGGGCGATTTCACTTATATTCCGTGTTTTTAGCATTTCGCAGCACGCCGGTATTCACCATTCGTAACATTTATAAAACAATTCTTTTTTCCGTTCGTCCACTTTTGCCGAGGTCCCCAACCCTGAAATGAGGTTATTCAGCGGCGTAACAACTACCCTACTTGAGATAAGACTATACCGTTTCACATCTGAGCAATCCTCTGTGTTTGACCGCTGTACCCCTAGCATGGAAGCGCTGCTTCAATCCACATAGACCATGCAGCTTTCAGGTACTCCTCACCCAGTGAACAAAGCGGCTGCGATTTGAGCACATAGGATGCGTGGACATAATTCCATGCAACTAGGTTGCCTTGCTTACATTACGTTGCTTTCTGCGATCAGTTTAGTGCTTGTTCGGACGCTCCGCTCTTAGCAGATCGCAAAAATTAACTTTAAGCCTCAATTTGCTGTGCTGAGCGTTGCTTGCGGAATGCAGTTGTATCATGATCAAAGGGAATTCGCGGATTCCACTTCCAGGTCCGAGGGAAAAGAAGGAAGGCATCAGCAGTATGTCAGTACGCAGTACGAACGCTTCGCTGCCGCGCAACCACCATCGGTCGCACGTGAGCTAAGGATACTGCAAGGGTCGCCCTGTCCCTATGCAGACTCGAACCCGCGCCGTCAGATTGCACGACAAGCTCGCTACGGGCCCAAGGATGGAGGGATACAGTGTTTGGAGCCAGCAACACTGAAAACTCCTCGCTCAAGGCGTGATCGGAGTAATCATGAATTATTTCAACGCTAGGGACGCTTCAAATTGCAATTGCCTGTCACATTCCTAACACACTGGAGGTACTTCAAAACAGGATGATACACTAGGGGTAACATAGGAAGGGAAACGATCATCAGACCGATCAAGAGCATATCATTGTCCGTTGCTGGCCAACAAGCACACAACAACGAGAGGATAGTAAGGTTTCTCGCGGAAGTGGAGCACGTTGTTAATGGCAGACCTCTCGTATCCTTGACTGCGGGTGCGCGCGATCAACCAGCGCTGACTCCAAATGATCAGTTATTGGTGTGGTCGAACACAGACGCTGGAAACAGGCGAACTACTTGGCACCATTATTTTGGAATAGGTGGACTAAGGAGTACTTGACACTGCTGCACACGAGAAAGAAGTGGCTTAAAGAAGAACGCAAATTTAAACCCGGTGATGTCATAATGGTTGCTTCAGAGCAGCTACTCGAGGACATTGGCCGCTTGGAGTGATTGAAGACAGCATTGCATCTGAAGATGGGCTTGTAAGAACAGTGGTCGTGAAAACAATGGATGGTTTGCTGAACAGAGATAGGGAAGATCGGTTTGCTTGAGGGTAGTGAAAAGAGTAGTGGGTTAATTGGGAGTCTAGCCACTACGCAGTAGGGTAGGAACAACTAGAGCGCATAGAGCAAGGATAATATTCTAGGAAAATCTTCGCGAGGAGTGTAACGAACAAACCAATTTGTTCAGTCTGTTGGGTCCTACATCCCTATTGTCTCCTTACAATACCCAATCATCGACAACTTATTGACCCCCTATTTTATTTTGCATATAACATAACTACGTTTCTTGTGCTTTGCTCGCATTATGAACACCGACACACCACTCAAATTTGCTCATTTGGCCCACTGTGATTAGACTCGTTGCGTCCACTCCCTATTTTACGTTGCTTCCCGTGCCTGTTATATGAATTTCTGATACTCCAGCCGATTCTACGGCCAAGTTACAAAACTTCCATCTGCATCAGCAAGCCACAGATCTCGTCCCTAATTCCTTTGTATTTCTTGTCCCGATTTCTCGTCCAAACATTCACACATCCCCTCGTTCACATACTCTATTGATTGTCCCTTAGTGCAATTCCATCCCTACATCGTATCCTTGTTCTCGGACACATGTTCATAGTCTGAGTGAGTGTAGGCTAGATTCATTCTCCTACCCACCCGTGTTCAATGGCTGACCGACTGACTATTGATCTCTTTGTTGTAATTCACTTCTGAATGACAGTGTGAGTTCAGAGATTTAGAAGCTATCGATTGGTATAGTAGTTTTGTAATCTTTCTCCCTTGACACAAGGGCTTCGTCAGACCAGATGAATCCGTGTGCAATTGGAGTGGGATTTTATAGCGAACAGGGGCGATAACAGCGTTACCCGTCTCCGTTTGCTTATCGATTTTCCGCTGTACTGTTTGGTCTTGCTTGACAACAGGTTGCATTTTGGTCTGGATATTGAGGTTTGTTACTAAATTGCTGTCTAATCATTTGTAAATTAGCACCGTAGCTCACTTCCGGCTTTGACTTTTGGATTGACCTGGGGTGCTAAGTTTTGCTCAATTTTCGCGACCGATTTGTCCGTAATGGTAGTGGTAGAAAGTCGCTTACATTCTGACATTGAAGACTAAGTGGTTAAATTCGATGGGTATCGCCGTTTTTAGCCTGACTACCCAGGATAACTTCATCACTAACATTAGCCAGGATGTGTAAATCGGTTTCACACCTGCCCGCTTACAGTTTCTGTCGCACCTGACGCAAACTGTCAGGGTTAAAAGCTTCTCATACTTCCGCTTCGCGGTGCTACACCCGAAGTTAGAACGCTTCATCTGTATCGTTGCTGATGGCTTCAAGAGGAGCACCACAGTGTTCATCTGGGTTTGACCAGTTTGTTGAAATTCCGCACCGGACTTGATGCGCACCTGGATTTAGTTTTTATCGGCAAGCACAACTTGTTTTCTACACTAACGCGTACCCCTTTCGATAATTCTGGTTACTGCATTGTGAAGTTGTACGGTACAAGTAGTTACGTTGTGCTAACAAAGGATGATTTAAAAGTAGTAGACGGTAGGATTATTCAAAAGAAAACGTAGCAAACGCTTTGTTTAACTAGTTTTCCAATTGTCACAAGCGAGGACTTATCAACCCAAGCGAGGGACCCACTGACTAAGTTAACTTCTGGTGCACCCATATATTTGCAGCCTGACATATTTCCATTGCTGCTGCTCGAAAAACTTTGATAGAAAATATAGCATGCTTACAAACATACGCTAACTGGCCGTAACAAATGTCGATCTATGGCTACGAAAGGCGATAGAAGAAGGTTAAACCCTGCACATGTAGGCCGTTTTAGGCAATCACGGTTACTGTCGTCCGTCGAGGCTCTTGAAGCAACTCTCCGGCAAATGACCCTGTGTTCTATTCCGTACTGCGTATGTGGACAGACCCAACACAGAGTTATATTGTCCATCACCTCACATTCCCCTTTCTTCCTTCACTAGCACAGACCCCACTTTTTCTGATAACGTTAGTCTCTACCGTGGAATCACAGAGCTGAAGTCAGGTAAGGTTGGTGACCCAGTGGGGGGATGCCTTATACCTAGCTCTAGCGAAGGTTTCTGATCGATGCTGAGACCTGAAAAGCAGCCGGAATATCAGTGTTTAAATAGGAATCACAGAAGTGGCGCCCTGTTGCGTGTACGCCTGTGGTGCTGAGCGCTTGAATAACGACTCATCCCCCATGATTATATCTTCTGGTTTCCTTACAGGCCCGGTGCTCTACGCTGTATGTTATTACCCATTCTAAGTATTCTATTGCATCTGTTTTTGTTTACCGGTTATACAAGCGCTGTCTGTGTCCTGAAATGGCGTTCCCGTGGATGCATATGGTACAGTGTTAATATTTCACAGATCGTACACACTTCACAGGTTCTGTGTACATGTAGCCGGCCGTGGTTTTTGATGGGTGTTACCTTATTCCCCTTACTCTTTATACCCTACATCAACGGCTTTCCTATACCATCCAATTTCATCGGATGTAAATATGCCGAGAACTTCTCGAGATTTCAATAGGGGTTATATAAATCGAACCGCTAAGTAACGTTATTTGATGCAGTAAGCTTCCTTACTTTGGTAATGTGTCACGCACGTCAACACAACGACTTCCGTGACGTGCGTTGTTTGCGCGATCTGAATAGAAGGGAAGGAAGGACGATTTGATCGAGGATTGAAACTCATCTTCGACGTTGGTCTCCGTTGGATACTCTCGCATTCCTAGTTTGGGCCCAGAAGACGATAAACTCGTTTGATTAGTGACACTTGTCGACATGACAAAGAGCTTGCTCCACAGGGCGTTTGTGTTGTGCGTCTCTTTATCACGCCCCCTCCCACATATCCTCTTCCTCCAATCACAATTTGGTTATTAATGCATAATATGTGATAGAGCATGATAATCTTTTCCTTTTACTGCCATCTTACTGGATATTCTTGAGACACAATAGACCAGGAGTTGCTTACCTCTAGCTAATGTATGTAATGGTGATGTTGAACGTTTCAAAATAAGGGTAGACTTTCATTTTATCCTCTCAGGCTCAAAATGCTTTACGTGCCACCTGAACTCGTAGTATGCAGCCCAACAATATCATGACGAACTGGCCCATCAAATGTCAGTGATGAATGAGGTTGGTGAGCCGTACGCTGACTGGGATCATCTCAAACGTGCCATGACGCTTGTTGTTCACCCAGATTGTGACGTCATTATTATGAATAGATCTCTGAAGCATCGATCAGCTTCGTCAAGGCACGGAAACAGGTTCCAATGGGCACTGAGTTTCAGCGTGTCCGTAACTCTCTGAAACGACATCTGACAAGGAGTCTTCGAGTTGACCGAGAACGTTGCTGGATGGCTAAGGCCCGTGAGATGGAGAAAACCAGTGCTGTTAGAAACAGCCGTTTTGTTCCAGCTCATCCGGAACACGGGTCCGAGAGAGCCATCCGTTAGCGAGACAATAGCTGAGAAAGATGGGCAGTTGGTCCATTTTCAACATCGTCGACTAGCGCGTTGGGCGGAACATTTTGAAGTGCAGTTCAGCAGAACTGCCGCTTTGGAAGAAATTCGACATGAGTTCGCCGTGTTAGAAGGAAACAAGACTCATCTACCCTAACACTCCTGCATATTTGCTGTCATATGTTGATGACTGTTGACTGAACTCGCTTATCTGTTTAACAGGATTTGGAACACTGAAGAGGTGTCTTCAGACTGGCGACTGTCAACTGTCGTGCCCATTTTCAAGAAGGGTCAGCACACTTTGTTCGAAAATCATCGAGGAATTTGCCTTGTCTTCGTTGCATCCAAACTTTTTACGGGTATCATTTCCCCTACGACTTACTGGTCCTCGTGGGAAGCGACTCATTGAAAACTAGGCTGGCTTGCGCCCTGCTCAATGATACTATCGACCACACGTTTACTCTTCGCCAAGTGTTAGAACAGAGACACATACTGACCACCGATTATGGTGGCTTTCCTTGACTTGAAAGCCGTCTCCGATTCTGTTGACGGCGCCAGTTTGTGGCACTGTCTGTCCATGAAAGGCCTGCCGGCTAAATTCCTGTCTGCCGTAACTCCCGAGGCCAGGTAAGGGTCTACGAGAAACTCTTCTGAGTTCCCCACTTGTCGTGGGGTTCGCCAGGTTTATCATATCTTCTTCTTCAACATTATGATAGAAATGGTCTCCGTTTTTTCAGACTCTACTGGGATGGAAGTTCTGCCAGTTGACCGACTGACAAACCTGGAGTATGCGGACGACATAGTTCTCCTTGGGTCTGATGCATTGGCTATGCAAACACTACTGCAGACTTGTGCGTAGCGCTACACGCTTCGGCATGTGCTTTGCGCCTCAGAGTGCCAAGTACTGCTGCAGGACTGAACCGACACATTTCCGGTTCTAGCTATCACCGGACAGCGATTGGAAATGGTGGATCGGTTCACTTACCTTGGTAGCTGTGTCATCTCTGGTGGTCACATCTCTGAGGAAGTTAGTTTGCATATCAGCAAGGCCCGTGTGGCTTTCCAGAGACGCACCCATCTATGGAGACGGCGGGATGTCAGTCTGTCATTGAAAGGTAGGGTGTATAACGTTGCGGTAAGGCCTGTGTTACTGTATGGATCAGATACCTGGCCAGTTCGCGGCGAAGACTTTGAACGCTTGACCGTGTTTAACTACCGGTGCTTGCGGAGTATTCCTCACGTGCGATGGCAACACCTGGTGAGCAATGCTGAAGTTCGCCAGTAGGAGCCTCACTCTTGTGTATGCTGAATCTTAGTCGCTTACGTTGGCTAGGCCATGTTCTCCGCATGCTTATTGGCCTGTTTCCTCGGCTCGCATTACACGCCGTGGCTGTACCAAGTTGGGCGAAATCACGAGGTGGTCAGTCCATGACGTGGCATAGAGGCATGAAGGAATTGATTGAAAGACTTGGTTACGGGATGTTTCACACTAGTGGTTGGAGACTGTATCAGGCTTGATGCAGTCACGCAGTCAGTGACGTACTTGCATTAGGTTTCTCGCATCTGGTCGTTAATTTCCGTTCCATTCTGATTAGTTTAACGCATTTCCTTCTTTTTGCTTCCGTTTCCTTTGCATTCTATTTTCCTTTAACCCCACCATCTTGCCATTGTTTTTTTCATTGTTATGCTTGGGATGCGAGTCGTGGCGACTAGATCCACCGCACTTCGGTGCTCAGATCACAGTCGTTAAACTGAACTGAACTGCCTTGATTCTACGATTTGTACCTGCATTAATTCTCCCTCATTCGTTGTACTGTTCAGCTGTTATTTTTGTCCTGGACTTCCTTATCCTTCTTGTGCTCTGCATAAGGACAACTGTTCCTCGTTGAGTATATCGCTAGCCAACAGTTTGACTAATGTGTCGAATTTTCATCTCCGATGCCAAATTGTCATGTCGCAACAGGCTTGCCTTACGAGTACCATTTTCATTGTTTCGACGCGGGTGGAACTTTATTTTTCTCGTATCTCGCCGTGTCATAATTCCCACATTCTTCACACTAGCTAGGAATTATGCAGAACTTGCGTGCCTGTATGCCGAAGAGGGTTTGCATTCTTTCATTCATGTCGTATTTTTATATCTGCGGTGATAATGCATTGCTGAAAACGGGTGTTTAAAGCTTACTTTGACTGCATTGAGTGTGGTATTGCTTCAGGTGACTGTGATTCCTGACCTTATCGCTTCTCAAGCCAATCGGTTAGCAATACCGTGCTTGGTGCTGTCCACTATTATTTCCTGGACTAGAAACGTGGCTGTTGTGTTAAAAGCGTTAGGAAATTGGTCGTGTTGGAGCACCGAGCATTGGTCTTTTCATTTGGTGATAGACCTATTCTTACTCCATTGTAGTATTGCGAACGAGAACCGTTTTAGCTAGCTTAATCATGTGTCGGCCTATATATCTGCAAAGCCGATGGCAGATCATGTTCAACTTGATGCAGTCGTCGGTTCGTTGTTACTCCTCTATTCGTTCCCTCGAATTTAGCTGTTAAAACCCTAATACCGTTTCTTGTTGTAACGCTTTGGAGCATTTGTGGGCCACCTAACCTGACACATTAACTTGCAATTCTTCTTCCTTACTGAAATTAGCCGTGATTGTTTTAAGCATCAATCTTTATTATCACTGATGTTCGTTGTGTCAACATCAATACAGTCTCTTTGTTACAGGTGCTCAACTCACACGAATCGCTATGGAGACAGGACAAAATCGAGAATCGATTCGCATTTGGTTTTGTAATAGGCGTCAGGTAGACGCGAAAACTGGTGAAAAATCAGCTTCTACTACGTAGAAATTGTACGATTTGACAGTAATCACAAGAAAACCAAGAACCATTTCGGTCGCGGTACAACGGGCATCATATTCCGTGTTTCACTTTTGAATATGCTGTGAAACAATCCCCATTATATCTGACGGAGTTAATTTCACAATGAGATGTACATAAATATTTTCTGATTGTATTCGTGCGTGTTCTAATAGTTAACAATATGCCCATCTGTCGAAAGCCGCCACCTCGATTCTTGGCTTTAAGGGGCTGCTAATTGTTGCTACTGGAGACTGAATGCGCAGTCCACCTATTGCTGTTAGATCCAAGGTGTAGTTCTTTTCTGTTTGAAGTGAGCTACGGCCTAGTCACCGGCCCATGTACATCTGGTAGGCATGTTTCCACAACTTCACATGTATGATACGCTTGCCGAGGGAATATACGCCGGTTCCGAATCAATCGTGGTTCCCATCCAAATGTTCCCTTCTCTTATTCTTTAATGTTTACACCAAACATAAGGTGTGTGTGAGTGGGGATGTAATGCAAGTCAATCGTGGTTCCACTGTAGGCACAGTTGTCCTGTCACTGCGCAGTCGCAGTGACATGCAAATCCGGAAATAGACACCGCCAATCCGTTCTATTACTGCACCTTCTCCCAGTCAATTGCGTACAATCGGATTTCTCGCTAAGAAACTCAGGTTAGTTCATGGGGCAGTCACATTGCATCTAATGTTGTATACATGCACAGTAATAAAATAAATGTATGTATTTCCAGACGGGGGGCATGTTCCCTTTTGTGGAACGATCATTTGTACAGCGTGTTTCGTCAGCATTTCATTTGTGAACTTGTGTTTATTATGGATAAGTGATGCTCGGGTTGCTAGTTAAAGTTTTGATTCGTTCTGCGAGCTGAGTAATTTAATGGCAAACGTTTCACCACTTCCCTCAGTGGCATCTTCAGTGCACTGCTGCATAGAGAAAAAATCACAACATGCATGACAGTGGAGTATGAGCCGCGCTTTATCGCAGTCAGAGATCAGTCATGGCGGTCCGCTGCCGTCGCTCGTGGCTCAGTGGCATAAGCCGCTGGCTCACAAGGGTAAGGTCGTGATTTCGAATCCGGCAGGTGCGAGCTACTGACGAGTCCCAGTGGGACGAAACGGCCGTCTAGAGGGTTCCTGGGTGTGTGTTGGCGCAACTGATATCAGTCAAACAGCAAAGAACTTGTCCAAACGTGTTTAGGAGCACTACCCACGCTGGCTACGTCAAGGTGGAACTGGGGCCATCAGCAGCGCCATTTTGGTTCAGATTGTCTACACTGGGCAACAAGTTGATGTAAAGCGTGTTTTCAGAGTCCCCAGCATCAATCCAGATGTCTGCGCCTCCGTGCACTCGCAACAGTTGAAGCGATTTGCATGTTTTTTTTCCAACTTTTGTGCTCTCAAAAGAAGTTGATCCAGCCTCATCAGCTTCCTTGGCCAACGAGAACGGACGATGCTGAGGGCAACTACCAAAGATCAAGCCTGGTATTATGCGATTGACCTGTTAGATTGGAGGTCAAATTTTAGCCTCCCACAACGAACTGTGTAGTTTGAGTCAATGGGTCGAATTTATTACTTTTGCCCCTAAATGGGAAATTTCAGGTTACACAATGTAAGATTATTGTAATTTTGAGCTTGCTTGAAAGCCCGCGAAGCATGCTCTCGAACGACGGCAAAAATCGGTTTACACATGAAATCTGAGGTTGTCATGCGTGTATGTTTGGGTAAAGTGATTGCCAGAAATACGAGGTAAATTGATACAAGGATAATGAATCTGTGATTCCAATTCTGTTGAATAGCTCTCGTGTATCCGAGTCGAATGAGCACAAGTGCAGTAGTTTGCACCGAAATAGCAATATAGCGACGCATAGACAGTTAGAGCGTTAAAACTGAAACTGCACATCACATATGCGTATTGTTCGTTGTGACCAGTTCCATATCAGACAATGGCGTATCAGGAGAGTATCCGCTATGAAGTCCCAGCATGGTTGCTGAATTCAGACACACCTGCGGCGCAGAGATCCGCTTTGGGAGTCGTTTAGCGACCATCGGCTCATACAAGCTACGACACACTTGCGTGGTTTAACGCAAGTGGACGTCGATTGAGGCCTATCTACACGGCCATCCTCTCGTTTAGGGGAAAGTGCCATGTGTGAAGTGTGTAGGAACGCACAAGCATAGGACAACAACATGTGTGAAAGCAGGTGCCTTGTGGCTTGCATGGGCTTAGCTTCGTTGTAAGCAATTGTCGCTAAACACTTCCCATAGTCATTCAGATGTGAATGCACTGGCAGTACATCAGCGCAACTACCAAATATGTTCTAGACAAATACCGGTAGACTCATGCTCCATTAGCGAACGTGCTATGGGGGAAGGGGTCGCCTAATGTGCTGCATACACCGGATCGGTTACTCGAAAACATGCTACCGCTGCCGTCCCCTTCTTTAGTACATTTCCGTCAACATTTCCCACTCCCGACTTCACGTGCCACAACCAACATGCCACGATACCTATCTAAACTACAATTCTTCATTCCAGTAATGAACCGGTGCAGTCGTATGCCATTGCGGAAGGGTCGTCAGCGTCCCAAACCTACGCACTGCACCAGTCACCATGGAACATGGTCGCTACGACATTGGGGTTGCTATCAGACGAAGGCAAGCTGCATGAGGCTGGTGTTGGACACACGTTCTACTGGGTGGGAAACGCCACCTCAGCACCGCTTGAACATGGGGTCGGATTTCCACTATCCGACCGCCTAAATGGCCAGTTAGTTCCAGAGCCGACTGGCATCAGCCGACGCTTGATGACACTACGACTTGGAAGAGGTACGTTTGCTACCTTCATTAGCACGTATGGTCTCACCCTGTGTTATTCTAGTGACACGAGGCATCAGTTTTACATTTGGCTATCCTCCATGATACGGTCTGTGCCGAGGAGCGACCGGCTATTCCTGATAGGTGATTTCAACGCGCGTATTGGGCGTGATGCAACAGTGTGGACAGACGTCATCGATCCGCACGGTGTTGGATCAGCCAATGGGAACGGTGACTAAATGCTCTCATTGTGCACCACTCGCGGCCTAACGGTCACCAACACACCCTGAGTGCGAGTGATATAGTTACCTGACGCACCTGCGGAGTGGTCACGCTCACCTGCTCGACTATGTCATCGTACAACAGCTTAACATGCGTGGAGTGCCCATGACACGTGTACTGAGTGGAGCTGATTGTGTCACTGATCACAAGTTGGTGCGGATCAAATTTTTTGTAAGCTTGTGTGTCGCTCACCTGCCGTGTATCGGTGTAAATTCAATGTTCTTTCCCTAGATAACGTTGAAAAGAGGATCGAACTTATTAATGCGATGGCTAACTGCCCTGACGATGTTGATTGCATCGCTTCGGTCGGCGACCTGTGGCACTACACTAAAGAAAGGTGGCCGCTGCAATCGAGAAGACGATCATGCGTGCGAAACGTAAACGGCCCAATTGGTTTGATGACAGAAAAGTATGCGGACTTCGCTGCGCATATCGCGCAACCTGCCAATGCAGAGGAGTCAGCCTCGAAAAATTCGACGGCGACGGACTCGGGAGCTGCGTAGGGACAAGAATGCATGGTGGACAGAGAATGCGAAGCAGATGGAATGCTACGCCGAACGCCGTGTATGGACCCACCTTGCAGCCGCTGAGGGCGCTGGCTGCACACAGAGCTGGCCGAAGCACTTCTACTGTTAACGAACAACCGCTTGAGACTGACTGGCCCACCTTGCACGAGCTGCAGAAGACGTACATGTGTCCTACCGATATATATATATATATATATATGCTTTATTAATCTAGTCCGGAGCAAGGAGCGGCTGCACTCAGGCACTGACGTACACCGGTGCGCTGACTGGCTAACTGTCCAATGAAGCAAATTGCTTTGCCGATAGGGGTGAAATGGGACAAAGAAATGCGACATCTGTGCTTACGATCGCAGGGCGCACCCATCCGTTCGGCTGTGAGAACTGAACGTTAGCAAACGTCACAACCTCAATCGCCCTGTCATGCGTAGATCGCAGGACAAGATCAAGGGAACACATGCTGTTCGTCTGTGAGAACTTGACGTGAGCAGGCAACACAGCCGCACTGAACGTGTTATGCTTCGGTCGATCGGTAGTCGGCCTTCACTCAGGAGAAAAAGCTAGCAAAAGGGTTCCCTGTGAAGTGATTAGTGGGTCGCTGTGCTAGCAATCGTGGAAAACAGCCTGGCCTTATGTGATGACCGGTCGATGGACGCAGTACTGCTATCGCCACAAAAGCTGTCATCGCCTCATGACTGACTTCCAACAAACCCGTAAGCTTTTATTAGGCTGCTTTCGCTGCTACTACCAGGAGCACATTGTAAGGTTCCAGTGTTGTTCGCTTTGCCGTTTCGATCGCGTGTGTGTTACAGCTGAAAATTCACCCTTCATGGGTGCATAAAAACGAATTATTGACTTGACGTGACAATGCTCTTTGATTTCAGTCTGTCCCAACGCACTGGTAGCACCATTAAACAGCATACCAATTTAGTCATGAATGCAACTATTGCCCTCACAGTCAGACAATTGATAGCGCTACAAATTGATCAGGCCTTCGATGGTGTATCGTGTACGATGGAGAACATACATGTATACATTTATTTACTTAGATTTACATAAAAGGTGTCTATAAATATAAACGAATTAGATGTTCGAAGTGCCCTCCGTCGTTTTGGCTACAGAGGAGATTTTGCCGGATGATGTTGGCGAGGATGCTAAGAAATATCAGACCTTGAGCGGGTTAAACAACAAGCGACCGGACATACTACTGGAAAAAAAGTGACCAATGATTTTTCGAACGGGCAACTCAGCCCAGACCATGCACTTCACGCTATGTTACACAATTGAAGAGCTACACTGCCGTTGGTTGGTTGTTGCCCAAACATATTGCGTATCTTCACCATGCAGAGGGAACACCGCCTCATCGTTGAACAAAATGGAGTACATGTCTACTGTTTAAAAACAAACGGGTTAATTCCAGGCGCTTCTGTAAATCGCACGCGTTCAACGCTCGCACCTGCAGTGCACTGCACCGTTGGACTATTTTCTTTCAATATCTGATGCACAGAATACGGTGCGGTTTTGCAATGTTGTGCAAGTTGCTGAATGCTGAGATGGCCGTTACTGCATATCTCTTGCGCAACCGGGCAAGCTGATCCTCCATCCGTGACGGTGCGATGCCGCCCGTTTTGTTTGGTGTCGCAAACATCTAATTCGTTTATGTCTACAGACATTTCACACCTTTTATTTAAATCCAAGTAAATGAATGTATAAATGTATATTCTTCATTGTACACGATAGAAACCAACGAAGGCCTGATCAATTGGTACAGCCAGCAATTGCCTAACTGTGAGGGCAATAGTTGCATTCATGACTAAATTGGTATGCTGTTTAATGGTGCCACCAGTGCGTCGGGACCAACGAAAGGTGAATTTTCAGCTGTAACACACACGCGATCGAAACGGAAAGGCGAACAACACTGGAACCTTACAATGTGCTCCTGGCATTATAGTTTCTTGTAGCAGCGAAAGCAGCCTAATAAAAGCTTACGGGTTTGTTGGAAGTCAGTCATGAGGCGATGACAGCTTTTGTGGCGATAGTAACACGGCGCCCATCGACCGGTCATCACATACGGCCAGACTGCTTTTCTCAGCTGCTAGCACAGAGACCTACTAAACACTTCACAGGGAACCCTTTTGCTAGCTTTTTCACCTGAGTGAAGGCCGACTACCGATCGACCGAAGCATAACACGTTCAGTGCGGCTGTGTTGCCTGCTCACGCCCAGTTCTCACAGCCGAACGGCATGCGTTCCCTTGGTCTTGTCCTGCGATCTACGCATGACAGGGCGATTGAGGTTGTGGCGTTTGCTAACGTTCAGCGCTCACATCCGAACGGCGCGCATTCCCTCGTCCTTACCATTCGGTCGAGGCATGACGCATTCACTGCGTCTGTACTGTCGGGCCAACGTTCAGTTCTCACAGCCGAACGGCGTGAGCTACTTTGGCATTGCCATGCGGTCGAGGCATGAAGCATTCATCGCGGCTGTGATATCTAGCCAACGTTCAGGTCTCACAGCTGAATGGCGTGCGCTCCCTTGATCTTGCCTTGCGATGCACGCATGACAGGTCAATTGCGGCTATGGTGTTTGCTACCGTTCACCTCTCACAGCCGAACGGCTAGGTGTGCCCTTCGATCGTAGGTACAGATGTCGCGTCTCTGTGTTCCATCGCGCCCCTGCCGGCAAAGCAGTTTGCGACATTGGATAGTTAGAAAATCAGCGTGCCGGGGTACGTAAGCACCTGAGTGCAGCCGCTCCCAGCTCCGTACCAGATTATTAAGCACTCTGTATTTATATGGCGGGGGAGCCTATGGTGCGCTGAGGTTTGTGATGGCTAGATCCTGACATATTATCTGCCCATTGCGGCTACTGTTTTCCCATGGTCTCATGTCCTGGACGCCTCGTGGCGACCGTTGGATGGGGGTTAGTTTACGTCACTGATCCGTATTAGTCATTGGACTGACCATGTGCTAGACCCGCTGGCTTTCGGGTATACATTTAATCGAAGGTTCTGGCTGAGGACCCGAGTCTTTCTCCTGTCAGGTGTGGACGCCCCGCTAGTATCCCAGCCCATCTTTTTCGGAGGTTAGGAAGTGGTCGATGGCCCTCTTCCCGTAAAACCTGTCATGGGAGCCAACAGTTTTACGGGTTTAAAGTTCACTGCTCGATTGGTATAGAGCGCGAGCGCCACGCAGTCTCTGACGGTGGGATGGCACCTCCAGGTGCTCAATGGTTTGCAGCTGCCCGCCTCAAGCCAGGCAGCCCCTGGTCAAATTGGTACAAAACCACCAAAACCCACCTGCGTCTGGCCGTGGTCGCAGGTACGTATCTTACCACGGTAGCAAAACACAAATTAATTGTTCCAGAACTTCAAAGACTGTGTGTGACGGACCTCAAGCAGATCCCATTCTGTCTCTGCAAACACACTCCCGATTTGGATCTACTCACCACTGCCTTGGGGGTCAGGCTATTGAGCCAAACGCTCTGCGCGGAGTCCCTTAAGCAAACCTCCGAAGCACAACGACCACCTCGCGTGCGATTGCCCATCAATGCCATCGTATGCTTGCGCGCAAAGTATTCAGCATCGGGTGCTGGAACGTGCGCACAATACTGGACCGGAATTTGAGTGAACTCCCGGGGCGACGCACTGCACTGATCGCGATGGAACTGACGCGGTACAACATCGATATTGCGGTGCTCAGTGAGACTCAGCTCGCTAAGCAAGGTAAGTTGCATGAAGCAGGTGCTGGATACACATTCTACTGGGTGGACAACGCCGCCTCAGCGCCACGTGAACATGAGTTGCATTTGCAATATGCGATCGCCTCGAGGGTCAGTTTGTGGGTAAGCCGACAGGCATCAACGCGCGACTGACGACTTCATCTATGACTCGGAAGAGATACGTTTGCCACTTTTATAAGCACGTAGGGTCCGACCATGTGTTATCCTGATGACACGCGTGATCAATTCTACACACAGCTATCCTCCGTGATACGGCCTGTACCGAGGAGCGACCGACTATTTCGGCTGGGTGATTGCAACGCGCGCGTTGGGCGTGATGCATCGGTGTGGACAGATGTCATCGGCCCGCATGGCATTGGTTCAGCGAATACGAACGGTTACAAACTGCTCTCAATATGTGCCACTCACGGCCTGACGATCACGAACACACGGTTTGCACTGAGTGCGAGTGATATAGCAACTTGGACGCATCCACGGAGTGGTCACGCTCACCTGCTCGACTATGTCATCGTACGTTAGCGTGATATGCGTGAAGTGCGCATGACACGTGTACTGCGTGGAGCTGAGTGTGACACTGATCACAACTTGGTGCGGACCAAACTGCACACATATTTTCGTAAACCTATGTATTACCTACCCACCGTGAATCTGCATAAACTTAACATTCTCTCCCTCGGTACTGTGGCGAAACGTACTGAGCTGGAGAAGGCGATGGCTGCACGCCTGTGTGATGTGGAATGCATAGCCACAGTGGGCGACCTGTGGCACCACATTCGCGACAAGGAGACAGCTGCTGTCGAGGAGACCTTCGGGCGCGCAAGTTGTAAGCGGCCCGTTTGGTTTGATGAGAACAATGCAGCGATTGGAGCATTGGTGTGTGAGAAGAATGCAGCATTTGCTGCACATGTGGCAGACCCCAGTGACTTGGGCAGGATGAGTCAGTTTCCCAAACTTCGACGGTGACTGACCCGAGAGCTACGTCGTATTAGAAATGCATGGTGGACGGAGAAGGCGAAGCAGATGGAATGCTACGTTGAACGGCATAAACACAAGAAATTTTTTGACTCCTTGTAGGATGTGTATGAACCAAAGTTGGAGCTGCTGAGGAGGCTAATGGATGGTAGCTTAAGAGCTGCCTGCACACAGACTGCAGATATAATGCAAATCTGACAAAAACACTTGGAATGCCGCTTGAACAACCGTTCAGGGCTCGACTGGTCTATATTGAATGCCTGATGCATCATGTAGTGGAGGTTAGTCTTGCAAACACGCCAACACTGGATGAGACGCAAAGAGCACCTAATCAGCAGCGAAACGGCAAGGGTGCCGGGGCGGACGGGATCCCGCCTGAAGTATTGAAACACGGTGGACCGGCGTTGATGACTACGCTGCACCACTTGGTGCAACGCGTATGGATTGAGGAGGGTGCCTCCTGAGCTGAAGGATGTCCTTGTACTACCGCTGTACAAGGACAAAGGAAGCAAGCAATGTTGCACGAATTATCGTGATATCAACTTGCTGAGTTGTGTGGGCAAGGTGACTGCCTGAATCCTGCTTAACCGCCTCGCTAATCAGGTTGTGGAACCTTTTTGTTGTCGGTTCTTCTATACGGCAGCGAAACGTGGACGATGTACCGGCGGGATGTGCGATTTCTCGAGCGTTTCCATCAGCAATGTCTGCGACGGATTCTGCGCATTGGTTGGTGCGACAGAGTTGCGGACACGGAAGTGTTGCGCCTTAGTGGAATGTATACGGTGGATTGCATACTTTTGCTGAGACCCCTGAGGTGGCTCGGTCGTGCGTGTCGTATGGATTTGACGCGGATACCGAAGCAGCTATCATATGGTCAGCTGAGTGTTGGGAAGCGGCCTGTGGGGAAACGTAAGCTTCGTTACCAGTACATGATCAAAGTGAGGCTCTCACGTGCTAATCTTGATTGCAGGTCATGGGAATCGAAAGCAGTTGATCGGCGTACATGGCGCGATCTGATGACGAAGGCAGTCGCCGAAGTGCACGAGAAATCCCTCGTGCATGCAGAGAAGAAGCGGCAATCGCGGAAGCGGCAGGCGTCGATGGGTTGTACTCCATCGAGCGCATAGTGCTGTAGCACATGCGGTCGCGAGTGCCTGATTCAGGAAGGCCTAGTGAGCCGTGAGCGAGGCCACTCGGGGCCAACAACGAGTCCTGCTTCGAACGTAGGCATAACCCTCGCAGCGTTTTTCGGTACACTGCATTTGACTTACTAACCGCGGGCTTGTATGCTGAGTCTCTTTATTTCAAGTGGTGGTTTTGCTATATTGTCGTAATGCTTTTTTATGTCATAAATATCTACCTGAACTACCTTCTATAAACTTGCATACGTCTATTTAACTACTTTGGTTAACTTCGATGACATTTTTGTGTATGTGGCATTTCCTTAAAATGCCTTTTCTGACCTCTTGAACTTATCTCGAAATTGTTGGCAAACAATTTATTTCATGTGCTCATTTAAAGAAGAGTTATTTCACCGTATCTGTACAATACAATATTCGGTTTATTTTATTTGATATTGTTGTTTCAGGTGATTAGCTGTTGCTTGATATCCCCGGTGTGGTTGCGATTGATGTGCATGTTGACAAGGTGCCTACCTGTCTATTACCCATTATCTCGTCCATACTGGGTCCAGGAGACAGTTGGTCGTTGCTGGAGGGGACGGGATGCACGGTCCTTGTGGCAGTATTAGGCTCGAAGAGTGGTTCCATGCACCCAGTGTGGAGCTGACTACGGTCCAGCCACCGCCTTGTGTGCGCTTGGTTTCCAAAATACAGCGTGCTTGTGTTTACCTGTGAATGAGTGTGGGGCCGCTCCGTTGATGAAACGTGGCTCCTATTCGCATGCCTCCCGGACTTATTCCTTCGGGTTTACACCGGATGTGGTGTGTGTGGGTCGTGCAGCTCAAGCCATCCATAGTCCCTCTGTAGGTGCAGACGTCCTGTGGCTGGCCGCAGTGGCAGGAAAATCCGAAACCGGATGTTTCCATCTAATTAGATATATATATATATATATATATATATATATATACTCGTATTCCTTTGTAAACGTATTCTTTTGTAAACAACTTATTTCATATGCTCACTAATTTAAGATTTATGTCACCGTTTGCTTGCGTGCTAAGTCTGTTTATTTCAGGTGGCGGGTTTTCAATTTTGTCCCAATGCTTTGCTTTCTCATATAAATGTCTACCTTTACTCTCTTCTATAAACTTGCACACGTCACTTAAGCCAATTCTAGTCCTTTTCGAAAACATTTTTGTGTTCGTGGCATTTCCGTAAATTATACTTTCTGACCTCGTGAACTTATCACGCATTCTTCTGTAAACAATTTACTTCAGATGCTCATTACTTTGAGATATATGTCACCTTTCATTATGCATTACTCGACTTATTTCCTTTGTTATCTTTGTCTCCAGTGATTGGCTGTTGCTTGATATCCCCGGTGAGGCTGCGCTTGATGTGCATGTTGACAAGGTGCCTACCTGTCTATTACCCACTACCTCGTCCATACTGGCTCCAGGAGACAGCTTGTCGTTGCTGGAGGGGACAGGGTGCACGATCCTTGTGGCCGTGCTAGGCTCGAAGAGTGGTTCCATGCAGTCAGTGTGGCGCGGACTACGGTCCAGCCACCGCCTTGTGTGCATTTGATTCCCAAATAGAGTGTGCTTGTGTTTGCCTGTGAAGGAGTGTGGGCCGGCTCCGTTGGTGCAACGTGGCTCCCATCCACATGCCTCCCGGTCTTATTCCTTCGGGTTTACACTGGATATGGGGTTGGAGCTGTGGGTGGTGCAGCGCAAGCCACCCATGGTCTCTCTATAGGCGCAGGCGTCCTGTGGCTTGCCACAGTGACAGGCAAATCCGAAACCGGATGCCGCCAACCATATATATATATATATATATATATATATATATATATATATATATATATATATATATCACTTTCAATCGCTTAGGGTCGAGTCGAAAGCCACTCACATCAACGTCGTAAACTCTATAGTAGACCACTCGTCCAAAAAACTGAACTGCACATGGGTTAAATGCACACTGGAATTGCCTCACAAGCTTTTAATTTTGAGTGCGTAATTTCCCCAACACGCCAGTAATTTGTCACTCAGGAACGTAAAATCAGCTCATGGGACAAATAATTTAAATGTGAACAATTATTAACAATATAACCATATTAATCTATATTAATCGGTTTCTGGCGATATAGTGATTTTAAAGACAATTATAGACTTTTAAAATGTGTAACTTGTCTACTTACATGCAGATGACTCCGCATTGTTCCGGTACTCTATATCTCTAGCTGAACACTTGTACATGGTGTTGATCGTGTGTCAACGGGAAGTTGGCAAATTGGTGTTACTAAAATGGGATGGTTTCTGCATTGACCAAAAGTACGTTATATAATTAGAAAAGGTCTGGAATAGCCTCCGGCCCGGGATTACCCCAACACGTTGAGTTGTCAAACGTCTATAAAAAGGATTTTCTCCTGATTAATTCGACATATCTGAAGCAGTCTCAACTGGGTATTTGATGGGAGGATGCAATCTCAGGGACGAGACAGGTGCACGTGACGAAGGAAGTAGGTGGATTGCTACCGACCAAGGAGGCAAATAATTGGACGTCTCCGTTGGCTGCTTGTTTGTTTCTCCAAAGTAAATGTAGGAACTCATGGATGCGACAGGGTGGCTAGTTATAGAAACGGTCCATTTATGTACATCGAGGCTTTTACAAGCTGATTATACTGTCATTTCCGCAGAGATTGTTTCGTTGAATACACCGTTTGTCCCTGAAGGGTTGGTTTTCGTTACGTTTGTGTGGAGACGAGTTACGGACATAGGTCATCATGAACTATTAGTCTTGATATGACTTTTCCGTACAGATGTGTCGGAATGGCTCAAGCTGACGCCGTTAATATCTGCCAACTCCGTTCAAACCAGCATAGGCGCCGATTTAATTTCCGCATCAATAGTGCTTATTTCAGAGCTTATTGATTACTTCACAAGTCAATTATTCAGCGGTATGTGACCTCAATGCCTCTAATGACCTGCAAAGCGCATCTCAAAGAGTACTCACTGGAAAAGAATCAGCGGTAGGTCGGGACATGGTAGTGATGGTTCCATGCCGGGCGAACACCACCAGCCCCGCAGGTTAGGTATACAGCGAGGTGGACGGCAGCTACGCAGATTCTAACCAGTCAGTGGTTACAGAGCAGATGCCTTATCCCGTTGGCCACCGGTTGAAGGCGCTTTTGGGTACTTCGATATGTACTCTGCGTGTCTTGCACTGTGGCATGCATTCTCAAAGTGGACCAAGTGATCCTCACGATTCGGAATTCACACTTGGATCCGGTTACCTCAGGAGTTCAGTGTTTGGAGCGAGTGACATCGAACCAGTGGTAATGCATGTGCTCATGAAGCTCATTGGATTTAGTTCTACTCAACTCTTGCTAAACATGTTGCCAACACGCATGAGGATCCCACCGAAATCACTCTGGTGACTCTCATCCCACAACATGATGCTCAGTGGCATCAAAATGAGCATCGCTCACGATGCTCCAGCAGCACGTTCTCTAAAGACCAAAGATCTGTTGCATGGAGTTACTATTAATCAGGTTGCGGGGACTGTAGGGACACATCGCAATGGGACGAGCATTATGATAAGTGGCGATCCATGTGGTTCCTCCACGCCGTTCTCTCGGGATAAATAGTGATGCGCACGTATGGGTGCCCAGCAACGACAAAGCGCGCAGCTGTTTACGCTTAATCAAGGTAATCTCCCATCCAGTGGCTAGCGTTTCATGATCAGTCGACCTTTGTTTATTCCACTTCCTCTGCAACCTTGGGTGTTGGCGTTTTGATTGTTCACACAGTTGTTGGGTATTTTTAAAGCAACGAGTTCTGTTACGACGGGTATTTGCATTGCAATATTGCGCTTAAGCAATGGATAACTTAATGAAGTGCCTGTACTAAGCTGGAAGCTGGCTGTTTTCACCTAACCGAGCTCTTTCGTAGCAGCAGTCTTCTTTATGAAACTCAGTTTCTGCTTAAAATGTTCTATGTTGAGTGCGACATTGCCTATCTCTGAGCGACAAGGGTAGCAGTTAGTCAGGGCCGAAGGCACGAAGCTGGCAGACACAGCTTCAAACTTCTCTGGTTCGATCGATGCTCTAGGACTAACGGGCTACTAGTCGAGGTGGTTTGTTCAAATGAATGGCACAACAGATATCGTCTTTGAAAATGCTCTGCTCAGCAAAGCAAGTTGAGTTCACACATACGGGTGTTGCGGCTTATCATTATTTAGGTACCGCAAATTTCGCCGAAATGCAGCGTTGTTACATTGAGACGCTGAAATCTAACTGCTGCTTCGGCTATTTGATCACTCATTCAGCCGTCCTGTTGACCGACTAGATTAACGGAGAGCCGCTATCGAAAGGTCATGATTCAAAACCGATAATTGGCGCGTCGAGAGCTAGGAATTGTCGACTGCTCCTCGACTACAATGTACATTTGCGCCGTGCATCAAGGTAAGATATTGAGTGAACAACTAGAATCTAAAACCAGCTGAACAAAAACGAGGAATCTATTAAAAGTGGATATGTATATCAACGATGATCCGGTTAAAAACGGGATAAATCACATGAGCAGGGCTGGAGTTCAAATCTCGAGGTAGTTGGGGACTAGATACACATGGGCAAATGATCCTCGTATCAATCGGTAGACTGATTTGCAGCGCGGAACAAGCTGAGTGTCCCGTAGGTTCTATACTTGCACACTGTTTGTAAAATAAGAAAAGCAACACCAGCGACGATCCAGCCGCCGATGCCATAGACCTCCACATTTTTATAATAGCGGTCGGACGGTATTGTGTTCCATAGGGTTTCGATCAACTGGATAACAATTCCATTGATCAGCTTGTCAATGAAGGACATATAACCATAGACGAAAGCGCCGTTATCTGGATTACCTCCGATCAGGTCGGATACCATGGCCAACGCGGTTATTAGTATGATGGTACAACCAATGCCAAGAAGACTTGCGGCGATGTAAACACGATATAACTGGACGGGGTCACCTGGGTAATTCGCCAGAACGCAGAAAGATGCTACGAATAGGAGTCCGGTAACTGTGTTTAACTATAAGAATGCGGGAAAATAAAGTTAGAGTGCTTCGCAGGAACGGTTAGCAAATATAGTTTGTATTGCACGGAAAATAAGTGCGAGTTCATTAAGTACATAACAGATAAGATTGTAGAAATGAAGACGGTAAATATAGGTCGGGTCCGCACATGATGTAACGTAAGTTTGTGAACGAAGGTTACCTTTCAGTAACTTCAAAGCCAAATGAGCGGGCGTATATCCACTCACATCATGTGATCCGTGTTCGTTTGTGATTTTACTCGGAAATGCGTCACATTCGCGTGCTCAACACGATGGCCCGCTCAAACTGATCAGTAAGCCACCTATTCCCCCCCTCTCGGGTTGTAACCACTGTTTGCAAATGCTTTGTTTACCCAGTTATGCGTCTGCAGAACGAACTGTGCCGATGCAACGCTCCTGCTCGTGGGAGCAATTGCCATCTTAAACGAATTTCGACAACGTCCCTTATCCCGGAGCGTCGGAAGTAAACCGAAGAAGTATACGAGTCAGGGCGTTATGGGATCTGCATAGCACATCAACCTCTTGATAGGCTGTAGGGTAGACCTCATAGGAGTTCAGGTTTAGCCACGTCGAAGTAAAACAGATTCCTCCGCAGATTTTGTCTTTACCGATTGGAAAAGTTTTTCAATACCCTAGGCTCTGTCGAACGGCCGTGGACACATTTCAATGCCAATTCGCTAATTACAACGTCGCTGATGGAAATTTGGATGTAAGCCGTTAAACTGATTTAGCACTTGGTCTCATTTCTTGCTCTATAAGGCACACGAGAATAACGATCAAATCCGACACCCCCTACTGTTTTCGACCACGTTTTCCACCAGAGTAGTCCTCGGAACGAACGGGGGCGAATTCAGGGGACTTGTCCAATAAGCCCAAAGATGTAGCCTGCTCCAGGACCTTGATTCACAAGACAGAGCACAATTGGAACTCATGGGACAAGCCAATTCATCAACTATGGACTTCGCCCCATCTCGTGGTCGCGTGCACTGACTCGTGCTTGCATTCGTTAATCTCTGTCAGCTTTCCGATCCACACTATGATACAACCATCGAGTCGACTGAATGAGCAACACCATTTTAATACTAGGCACAATACTACAGCGCGCTTCATAAGCAAACAAACTCACCTCACGGCTTATTCGATCTTGAATCGGTTTCTGTACAACCAAGGAAAGAATGCTGGTTAAGTAGATGGTCAGTGGGACCAAGGCCATGGTACTTTTGGGAAGATGCAGCGAGTGTAACAAGTACACTGTGATATACGCCTGTGAGGGGTGAGGAATAAAGAATCCATGGCGGTGAGGAATGCTTAAATAGCAGCGTCTATAAGAATCGTTTTGCGTGAATCGTAGCTTAAAGTTAATACGTAGCAAAATACCAGCACATCGACTACACGAAATCAGAATATTCTCCTGATTACTTCGGTTTATCAGATGCTGTGGATCATGAAAGCGCGCAGGAAAAAGTGATCTTAATCGGCGTTGCCGCGAAAAGTTTGATAAAAAAAGTCTGGAAAACTCGAAAATGTTTGAGTGAAACATCACAGGAAAAATACCAAATATCCAAACAAATGTGTAAAGCTACAGCGTTCAACTGCCCGTATAGATAATTTCAGAACACCATCTTGGAAAACGGTAAACACAACGGTGTTTATTCAATTTTTGCTCCTTGTCACATTACCAAGTTACTTCGGAGCATTGGCCAACCGTGAGGATTAAGCAAGGTGCACAGCGGGTGATCTAACCACCATTTGACCAGGGAACCGATGTTGAACGAGGATATACGCCATGAAAGAGAGCGTGATGCACGTTGAACGATCGGTATGCTAAGGCTAGCTTGGTAAATGTGACTCGAAATTGTTGGCTTGCTTCATCCGACATATAAAACCAAGCTTTGAGGGCTGTATTATACCGCCTCGGTTGCAAGAACATGTGCTGGAGGAAGTATACATGGCTCATACAAAAGTCACTAGAATGAAACATCCCGCGCAGTCTTATGTGTGGTGGTCCTGCACTGACAGTGATATAGTAAAGATGATCAGACACTGTGAAGAATGTCGGAGTCCATGGAAATGGTTCGACAAATCTAGGGAGCGTATACAGGCCGACTACTTGTGTCTGCCCGATAGGCAGCTAATTTCCCTCGTGATCGAAGCCTATTCAGAATGGATTGTGGTATTTCCGCTGAAACATGTCACTTCGAGGGCAACTGTTTCGTGCATGTGAACGTGTTTTCATACATTTTTTGTATCAGATTAGTGATAGGAAATGACTCTGTATTCACCGGTCAGCAGTCTCAAGAGTTCCTGCAAGCCAACGGCACCAGACACGGGAAAAGCGCATGTTAGCATTCAGCTTTAAATGGACCAGCAGAAAAAGCATTCCACAATAAAAATGCATTATGGGAACCATCACCCGCCACACTAGGAACGAAGCTGGACAAACTTCTATTCGCTTACCACTGTTCATCGCTGACTCACATATTAGTGAGTTGTTTTCAACTACATGATCGATGCGTTGCTTGTTTGTTCGGAAAGTGATTTCGTTTTTTCCCGATATAAGATTTTATTGTATTTTTTCACAACCAACTTCACACTCAAGCCCCATTTTTTATATTTTTACAGCTGGTATAGCAAGGCTTGTTAGAAAAAGTTCGATTGATGCCACGCAGTATTTCTTTGTTTGGTGCCCTTTCAGATATGGAGAGTGAAAAGCAACAATTTCGGCATATGTTACTTTTCCACTACCGAAAAGTTAAAAATGCTGTTTAAGCAAGAAAAAATTATCCGATGTATATACATATATTATATATATATTGCCAGTGCCAAAACTGGTTTGTGAAATGGGAGGTGTGTGTCGTTAAGACATCCCTGAAAGAGTATTGATAACGATACAGCTAAACTCATGGCAGCAACTTTCAACGCCTTCGGGCAGCTGTACTCGCGTAAGAGTATCACCCGTTTCAGCAGAGCTGTGGTTGTAAAGTATGTGTGGTCAAGTCCTGACGGTGCCTTGATCTAGGTAGGTACGATGTAAGATGATTGCACACTCTGAAGGTACGGCCAAGTTCTTGTCGAATAAGGTTGGCCGCGTCTTGTGCCGTTTCTGTTAACCAGCATGCTGTGTGCAGAGCAGGAATTCCGCGATTAAACCGGCGAAGTTTGTTTAAGTGTCTGCATAGTAGCGTGAGGGTAGAGCAACCTGTTATCAGTAGGTCTTTATCCTCCTTTATCTTTATCCTCCCAGACGAGTTTGACACGGTGGTTTCTTTGTTGTTTAGACATCCCAGATGTTATCACTCGGAGAGGTTATGTGGGCGAGCCATGTCAAATCTCTCAACAATCTTCACAATCGTGGCATACACATGGGCTACCACCCTCTGGAGTATAATCGACAGCACGGACAGCACAGACCAGAATCTGAGCACAATCCGTAATGTTGCGTTGAAGCGATACAGCGTCAGGTGCGCCTGGTTCCAAAACTGAAGGCCGACAGCACAAATCGATGGATTTGATGCACAGGGTGGAAACCAAAAGTCTGAGAAAAGGAGATCTGGATAGTCAAGAAGATAGTGATCAACTGTCAAGATGATTATCTCACAATGGCCAACTAGATAGGAATGGAGTTGCAAAGCGATAGAAGGGAACGGACAGGAAAATAGCGTAAGCGCGAATGCCAAGACGAGAGTGTCTTTACGCAGTCCTCTTGGGATTTTCTACACCTCGGTTCAAACCGCAAATCAGGTTGGCGGCATCCGGTTTCGGATTTGCCTGTCACTGTGGCAAACCACAGGACGCCTGCGCCTACAAAAAGACCATGGATGGCTTGCGCTGCACCACCCACAGCTCCAACCACACACCCCATATCCAGTGTAAACCCGAAGGAATAAGACCGGGAGGCATGCGGATGGGAGCCACGTTTCATCAACGGAGCCGGCCCACACTCCTTCACAGGCAAACACAAGCACGCTGTATTTGGGGAAGCAACCGCACACAAGGCGGTGGCTGGACCGTAGTCCGCTCCACACTGAGTGCATGGAACCGCTCTTTGAGCCTAACACGGCCACAAGAACCGTGCACCCCGTCCCCTCCAGCAACGACCAACTGTCTCCTAGAGCCAGTATGAACGATGTAGTGGGTAATAGACAGGTAAGCACCTTGTCAACATACACATCAAGCGCAACCATACCAGAGATATCAAACAACAGCCAATCACTTGAGAGAGAGAAAGAAAAAAGAGAAAAACTCGATTAATGCATAAGGAAACGGTGACATAAACCTTAATTAAATAGCATACGTAATAAGTTGTTTACAAACAAATCCTAGCTAAGTGCACGAGGTCAGGATATATAGTTCACGGTATGCCACGAACACAAAAATGTTATGGAAATCGAATACAATTGGCTGAAGCGATGTGTGCAAGTTAATGGAATAGAGTACAGGGAGATATTTATATGAGAAAGAAAAGCATTAAGGTAAAAACTGTAAACCCACCACCTGAAATAAAGAGACTTAGCATGCAAGCACGCGGTTAGTAAATCGAATTCAGCGTGCCTACAAACGCTGCGCCGGCTCGTCGCAATTCTCTGCAGGACCCGTCGTCGCTTCTGTAGTGGCCCCAAATGACACAGCGCATGGCATGGCCCACTAGACATTTATATGAGAAAGAAAGGAATTAAGAGAGAACCGAAAACCCACCACCTGAAATATATATATATATATATATATATATATATATATATATAACACGGCCAATAGTACAATTGACACAGTGCCACAACGTATGAAAAGTACAATAGACATACGAAGACAGAGGGGAAAAATCGATGTTCATGTAAATAGTGAGTCACAAGTCCGCCATTGTTCGCGATTTCTTGCCAGATCCGAGAGCGTTTCCAGCCATGTGTGTTCCGGATCCTTCACACTCTAGTCAGGGAGCCGAGTGCGCCCGACCACGGCTAAATGACCATGGAGCTAAATTTGACGTTAGCTCCTTCATGCTCTTGGCCCAAGTCATACGTTGGCCACCTTGCTTTCGCTTCCAGTCGACTTCTGCGTGCGCGAAGAGGGCACGGCGAAGTAAGCGATGAGTAGGCATGCGGAGAACGTGCCCAAGCAACAAAGAAACCATACTGCTCAGTGGCCGGCAAAGTCAGTCTGAGCTGAAAATCCTTCGTCGAATATCTTCATTCCTAGTGTGATGTTGCCATCGTACACCAGCAAAGCTCCGAAGGCAGCAGTGATCAAAAACAGACAACCTTTCAACATCCTTTGCGCGAACAGGCCAAGTCTCGCAGTCATAGAGCAGAACCGCTCTTACTGTGGCATTGTAAACTCGGCTTTTCAGAGATAGACTCAGATCATCTCGGCGCCAGAGATGGCGGAGATTGACAAAAGCAACCCGAGCCTTGGAGACGCGTAAATAGGCTAGATCCGTTAAACCATTAGCGTTGAGGCAGCTTCCGAGATAAACGAACTTGTCCACTACTTCCAATGAATGACCTAGAAGGGTAAGGTCAGGAGTAGCGCCTAGCCAGTCCTGCAGGAAAATCTTGCATTTCGATGGTGCGAAGGTCATTCCAAACTGGGAGACAGATATCTCCAAGTTAAACAGAACATTTCGGAAGGCCTGTGAGGAAGCGCAGATTATGACGATGTCGTCCGCATAAACCAAATCCAAAAGCAACCGAAAGCAACTCGACGCCGCTGGGTTCGCAGTTCGCACTCTCCAAGATTTCGTCTATAGCGAAATTGAACAAGGGGGATGCTGGGCAACCCTGTCTTACGCCACAGGTGATACCAAATGGGGGCCAAAGTCCACCGTACACCCGCACTCGGCCCGAAGTTTGAGAGTAGATGGCTTGAAGTAAGGTGACATACTTCTCGGGCACTCCCTTTCTCAGTAGACTACCCCAGAGAGCAGCTCTGTCGACTGAGTCAAACGCGTCTCGTATGTCTAAGAAGACAACGATCGTTGGCCGGCGAGATGTTTGACGACGCTCGAGTATTTGGCAGAGTGTGAAGATGTGATCCATGCCAATCCGACCTGAGTGGTACCCAGCTTGCTCTTCACGTATGCTCTGTTCGTGTACCAGGATAAGCCTCCTTAGAAGCAGAGCTGCGAGCACCTTGGAAGCAACACAGATGAGACTAATCCCTCTGTGATTGGCGCAGTCAGTTCGGGTACCCTTTTTAAAGACGGGTACGACATCTGCTAGGCTTCAGTCAGATGGCATAACTTCAGTGACCCAGATCTCCTGAACAATT